TTGGATGACTTTTAAGTAATTTTTCATTTAAAACTCTATAAGGTATTTTCTCTCTCCTTCCAGCACGCCTTCGTCGTGTAAGGGTAGCACACTCGGCTCGCATTCGAGAATTCAAGGTTCGAATCCCGGCACTGCACATTTTTCACATTTCCTGCATCAAAATAGCCTAATGACACTACAATTCTAGACAACATTACGAAAAACACAACAAGATTTCTGTCAACGGTATCCATAATATTCGATTCTGGACAGGACCAATTATAGTTATTCAAATACAGTACCAATTATAGCTATAGAGGGACTGGACCAAAATGCCACCAAACGGTCGCCAAGTTTAGCGACTTTTGGCAATTTCTCGTTTGGCGACAAAAGTTAGTAGCCCAAAACATTGCTAGCTTGGCGATATCTCGCCAATTTAGCGAGATAGTCATTTACTTAATCTTAAGTAGACGTGCCCCTGTAATCTTATTTTTCCAGCAGAGCTTCGATTCTTTCAAGCATTTCATGTTGCATTATGCAAAAGGTACTACAAGTTTGCTAAAATTATTTACTTATTTACAAAATTCATAACGATATGTTAAAACCATGGAACAATGGTTTTCCTAATGAAAAGAAGACGAACAGTGTCGGATCATCTTCTGTTTTTTGGAAAATTTAAAAGGATATGATTGAAATTTACACCCTTTTGCAAAGTACGCCGTTAAAAAAAATTGCCATTTTGGTTAATCAGTACCTCGTGGAGAAAAAAAGGTTATATATATATATATAATCAAATGCTGTATATTTCCCTTTTAACAAAATTCATTGCAACTAAATTTGCTTATGTTGAAGTTTTCGCGGAGCCACAGTTTTTTAGCAACTTTTTAGCGTGCGTACTAAAATTTATCTTCTAATTTCCTTAATTTTGCAGCACAATGCGCAAAATTTTTGACCACATAGGTCTTTTATCATTTGTTTTTTCTACTTTACTTTAAATTATATATATATATTTGTAATAAGAAAATTCCATAGTCAAGAATACACTTAAAATTCTAACTGTATGTTCTTTTCATTTTTAATGGCGATGTTCTCTTATTTGAAAGTACGTGGAATTAAATCCACAGCCCCGTAGTCAAGTTGTTTTTTCCCGCCTTTTCTACACGTACAGTTATAGAATGTTCTGGAAATATTTAAAGCGAACTGGATTGGCTGATGAGGCTGACGTCATTTCTTGGAAGCTCCGCCTTTCCAGAGGATTTAAAAGGACTCACAAAAGGAATATCGGGGCTTTTTCTTAAATGTCACGATGCAGTAAACTTCATACAAAATATTATTAGTAGTTCTTTTTTATTTACTCCGGATATCTGATTTTGTAGCTGCTATTTCTCCTGACCAATAATAAATGGATCCTGTTTTTTAAACTTATCGTCTGATAATTTAAGCCACGACTACATTTATGATTCTTCAACAATCTATTTATTCCTGACAAAAGCTGCTGCATCACATATATATATATATATCTGTGTGTGTATGTCTCTACATAATTCCTTGTACCAATGCAGCATTTACTTTCTTCTGATAGGCAACAATTTTTTAGAACTTCAGAGAGACGCATAGAAACTTCAGACAAGGCAAACATTTCCTTCGCACAGAAACTTCGTTAAAAACAACAACAACAACAAAAAACAACTATACTCAGTAAAATCCAACCTCCTTGTTGGTAAAGTCGTTTTAATGGCAATTGGAGGAATGCTTTCATTTTAATTCCTTTGTCAGGCCATTCTTCGAACTTCAGCTCACTAGTAATATAGAGAACACCTGCCTTGAAGCATTTCCTCCCTCCTCTGTTTTCTACTACATTATACGTTTGATAGGCAGTTAAGGTTATTGTTTGATTAATGCCCTATTGGAATAAAGGCTAAATTATATTTGTGCGCCTTGACTTTCTTGGCTTATGTAGTGTAAAAAAATACAGTATTTTATTTCCTGCGGATATTCTTTGTAATCAAAACTAAAAAAAAAAAAAAAAAATTGAACTTTATAGTACTCGCTCTTGATTTCGAATTCGTATACCGAATTTTCCTTTTGGGAATTGGTTTTCGGTGAACAACATTTTATTTTTTAAATACAAACTTTATTTTACATGTCTAAGCCAATACAGATACTGAAAATTACGTCTAAAATAAAACTAGTCGAATTTCCCTGATATTTTAACCTCTAACAATAGTCGACTATAATTTTGGGGTTCCATTTTCCCTTATAATACGTTTGCGCATGTATCCTTCTAGAAATGTACTTTATGCTCGTCATTTACGATTTCTTTGGGAAATCGAAGACAAGCTACATATCGTGCTGCATAGATTTCCCAGAAGCTTCTTATAATTTTCTGCCTTACGATTTTAATAAAAAAATCCTCACGTTTTGAAAGAAATTTCCATACATCGAACTAAGTTTACGTTTAAATTCAGGATCACTCATTAGTCATTAGTTTCCTAAACTAATAAAAGATGCTTACTTTCGTTTTCGGTGAGTCTCTTTTTAGAAAATGAGAATACTGTCCTTTTCGATTCCTTGCCTTCATGAAAAATTTCACTAAACATAGTTTTAAGGAGAAACAGCTAGTAAACTACACTTTGTGAGGACATTATAGTGACTTAAATTGCGTTTTCAATCCTTAAGTTTTTTTATTTCCTTTTTAGGTAGAATGTTTCAAATATTATTTCTCTTGTTCGCTTTTAGCCTATTCATATTAAAAAGTTATTTTATGTATCCAAATTGTAATCCAAAGAATAAAGCTATAGCTTTCAGATCTCCATAATTATGCGATGAAAATTTAAAAAAATTTTACAATTAAATATGATTCTTTCACACGTGCAGCTAATGAATGACATTGATGGATAGTTATTTCTCTTAAAAAGCAAAACAGCTTTTAAGAATTTTTTAAGTTGTCCTGGAATAGCTTCAATACTTCAGTTGTTACCAAACCTGCTGTAATGTTATTTACATTATTACAATATGCCAAATCATTCCCGTTTGAAAAATACGAATTTTAAAATAAACTCTTGCTAGCTCTGATAAAAACTACGTACTTTTTCATCTTAAACAGACTGACTCGAGACAATGTATTTTGAAGTTAAAAAAAGACAACCAAACTGGCCTCTGATATAGAATAATATGCTTAATGGGAAGTTCTGGGAAAAACTGCCTATTATAAATTGTAACATGAGGACTTTTAAATTGTTATAAACTAGCTGCGTTGTTTATAACAATTTAAACTTCTTAAAGCAGAGTTTCTTAAGCTGTGGGTCGCCAGAAATTTAGCAATTTTGATATTTCTTTTAACTTATTATAATAATTACAAAATATTTTTACATAATGTATCTGAAAATAGATAAAGATAATATAGATAATATAGAAAAAGGAAAATCGAAAACGTTTCGACACAGTTTTTTTATAATAGAAACTTCATTTTACTTTAAAAATTAAAGTCAATGACCTAAAGCTGCAATACTATATTACAGTACAAGTGAAGAAACTGATAGTTTCACTCACGCGTGTCAGATTTGTGCAATACTTATGGGGTCTCACAAAATTTTCGTAAATATTAGGGAATCCTCATACCAAAAGGTTTAAGAAACCCTGTCTTAAAGGAAAGAATGTTTTGAGTTTTCTGTTTATTGAAGTTCCATGGTAGATAATGGTTCGGGTGGTGAATTTAATCTGGCGACTTCACTTTTCCACCCGTGCAACACATTCCTGGTGTTTCATTCTTAAATTCAGGGGCTCTGCAATACATGCATAATTTATCCATCTTTCCAACGATCACACTTGGATGACGATTGTAGTCATAATTAGCAATGGAACGCACCAAGATTTAAATCGGGGTGGAGTGTTCGTCTGGATCGAGCCGTTGTTTACTTGAACGTTCTCCAATCCTCCTTCTTTTTGCTCATCTGTTTCAAATGAATGGGCTTAAGCGGCTAAGCTTATCCCGTTGCTTCCCGTTGCTTATATGTTTCAGACGAATACAGGGCCTGAGTATGCATACTCGAACGTTTCTCCAGTTTTGCTTACCCCTGTTTGTCTGTTTCAGACGAACGAACTTGAGCAATATGTTTTCCAGTCTCGCTTTCCGTTTGTTTCTGAAGCTCATGAGGCCTTTTCCTTTTTGCGCTTAAGATGTAGACCCAGCAACTGATTTCCGTTTTGGTGGCATAATACAGAAAAAGTAATGTTTTGTGACGACTATTACAATTCACTTTCAGAAAACAAAAATGCGCGTGATGCAATAGTCCGCATATTAATGCGTGAAAACTTAAATATTTTACCCTTTGCCGAACCGTAGCACACATTAAATATTTTAATTTGGGCAATGGCAAAACATTTCTCTTAAACAGCCAAATTCATTTATTAAATTCGAGACGGATTAATTATAATTGCGCTTTCCCAAGAAGCAACACAATTTTTTTATTTCGCCGAGTTTTCTGATTAAATTTCAAACATATATCTTACGCTTTGGAGAAAGGCAATGCAAAGCTTTTAAATCGCTGAGTCTTTAATCTTAAGTTCGTTAAATTAACGTAAAATCTATGCATATGAAGAGTGTGGACCCCATGGGGTGGTTTTTGAGAAATCTTACGTAGACATTGACCTTCCTCGTGTGTTGGAGATCGAGTGTGCCAAGTTTCATAAAGATCGGAATTAAAATAACAAACAAATATTGATTTTTATACATAGAGATAGATTATAAAATGCATGAACAATTGCACTACAAACTAAAACTCTTTTAAGGAATCCTTATGAACATTGAAAGCCTAGAATCAATTTAAATGGACGGGAAGACAGATTTCTTAAAAAAGAATAATAATTTAATGCTTTAAAGGATTTATTTCTTAATCATACAATCTAAATAATAACAGCTTTATTTCGTTAAAATATTTGGTTATTGAATAGTGCATCTGTACAGTTTCTCTTTGATGATGCAATGAAAATAATTATAAAATGACTATCTTTCTTTATAGGCACCTGTTCCAAGTGCACCATCAGAATTACCTTGTGATCCCCTTCTCAATAATGAACAACCCATGGGCATGAGCAGTCCTCCACCAAAATATTACCAACCAGTTGTAATGAACATGAACACTGCTGTGCGTGTCTTGCCTACCAACTCTGTTCAACAGCACAAAGTGCGACCACTCTTTTGTACGTTTTCAACTGCAGAACCAGTCTAAGTAGAAGGATGAATACCAGGGTTTTAAACTGAGCAGCCACACATGCTCACCATGTCATGTTCCTAAACACCAAGTGCCTTTTATCACTTATATGTTGAAGGAGCAGGCTTTTATAATGAAATCTGATTTCAGCTTCCCTCCCTGTGATTGATATCCATTGCCATTTATATTTTAGTGTAGTCAATTTTTGTTTTTTGTTACATTAAGGGCTTTTTAAAGGAAACAGTAAGAAACAATCCAAATACTGCAAACATTTCAGCTCTGTATTTGATATAAATATATTTATTAGCTGCATATAAAATACAAATACGATCATTTTAAAACTATCTTCAATACAGGACTGAACATTGAGTTCATATTTAAAAATATTAATGTGTACAGTTCAGAGTTATTTTGAGTAGTATTTCCTCATACTAGATGGAAATAATATTACAATTAGATTATTTAATCATGTCAATCTAATATAAAACAAAATAATGTGAAAAAAATGATCTATTAAATAACTTAGAACAACTTTATTTATTAAAAAAAAGTGCATTTTAAGACAAAAATAACTGTATTAAAACTATTTCCTCTGTCTAATTAGTGTATTTTTCCTACAAGATTGTCATTAAAATATCATATATATGTTTGTCAATTTATGAAAAGAAAATTTAGCCTCTCATTTTTTAAACATTTATATGTTCTTATAGAGGAAAACTAAAATGAATCTTTATAAATTGCTTGAGTTTTGTTTCACATTTTCCTTTGCAGAAAATTAGCGATTGAAATCTGTCTTCTTATCTATGCATGTAAATGAAAATATAAGAATATAAAAATATTGTAAATATAAGAAATAACCTTATTAACATGCATGTCTCTCCCTGGCATACTTTCCTTCTAAATTTTTCAGCATATGATTTGGAAATTTCTGATTTATGGTAACAACATAAAATGTATGCCCAAAGTATTTCTTCAAGTAAAAAGAATGCCGTTGAAACTAAGAAATCCTTTGAAATAAAGAATATAATAATATTAGTGCATCTACAATATGCTTTTTATTGTGCTATGTTAATCGTTTAAGACTTCAGAAATACTATAAATTGTGTATATTTCTGTTCCCTGTTTTTCAAGTGATAAAAATTAGTAGGAAAAAGGGGAAATATGTGAGTAAATACGGTATGTAAAAATATTTTTTACTGTTAAAATAAATAAATTATTAGTCTGTTTTAATGGCATTCATGGTTCTATTTAATTCAGAAAGCCACTATACTGTTGTACAAAATCAGTTTTGTGATCTTTTATCAAGAGATTTCATAATTTGTCAGATTCTCCATATATATTTTACACCAATGCATTTTTAGACTTCTGTTACATCTCAGGGTAGCATTGGTTTCAAAAGAATACAGCATCAACTCATATAAATAATTGAAATATTACATTATGTTTTGAAATTTTGTTATAATTGAAAATCTCTCATTTTCCCATCAACTACAATCAAATTTCTTATCAGACACTATAATTTTCAACAATTATCATATTCATATCATTATTATATCAAATAGCTGACAACAAAAGTGATTATTTATATATATTTAACTTTTACTATCATGTAACCATTATCAATGTAATACTTAGTTAAAACACTACAAGTTATCTTTGAAATTTATGCTTATCTATTTCTAGAATGAAATCAGACATTCTAAAACATTTGGCGAAAGGGTTAGAAAATGAACAAGTTAGCGAGATCATTTAAAAACTAAAGAGCTTTTAAAAAATTACCATATTTTATCTGATTTCATAAAACTAATAAAAAAATTCTCAGGTTTTAGAAATCTTTCAGTTACATATTTTTCCATAAGTTTTAATAGACTCCACGGTTCACACTCACAAATTTAAAAACTTGGATTGAAATTTAAATAGAGACAGAAAAAATTTAGTTTTCATCATATAATATAGCAATACAAATAATACAAAACTTTTAATTCCTTAAATATTTTTTATTTAATTGTAATAAGAATTTTCATTCTACTTAGCTCCCTCCTGATTTATTTTTTGAGGTACTTTCATTTTTTTCCAATATTCTTCATATATTTTATGACAAATTTCTAATTTGACTTCTTTTATCAGTTCTAATTTAGGTTTTCATGCACAGCAATTCTGAATTAGAGATCTATTAATTGCCTGTTTTGCCATAAATCCATTTTTCATAGTTTCTAGTTTAAGTAAGTTTGAGACAATTGTTTTTATAATAAATGCTGGCCAAAGAGTGAGGTAAGATAGCCTGGTTATAAAAGTACAAATCTCATATTTAGAATTTTTTAATGTCATCTGTTTAGATGACATAAAAAATACCAACACTTAAGGATGGTTTCGTATGAAAGATCTAAATTTTAATTTAAATGAAATGGATCTCCACTTATCATGTAGAAGATCTTTCAGAAAAACTGCATCATTAAACAGAAAATTGAGAATGGCGATTTAGCATGATGTACCAGTACTAGGTCAAGAAAATTGAGACTGACAATAATTCCATTATAATTTAGAGGAAATCTATTTCTAATTTAAATAAAAAGTTCAAGAAATTTTAAACAATCCCTTTTAAACCTGCTTTCACTGTCACCGAGTAGTGTAGTATTTAATAACAACCTTCCAATTACATTTTATTCAGAGGTTTATAATTTATTGCATTTCTTGGATCAATTAGAACCATCTTTCACAAAGCAATGACTTCTTTAATGAAAAAAAATTAATACTATATTTATAGTGATGAATTAATTGAATTACATCAAATGAAGAAGTACAATCCAAAATCTTCAGACTTAAATTTAATATTCAGGTAGTTAATATTACGTATTTCCAGCGTCATTCTGACTAGAGGGCGCTGCGTTCGTCCTATAGTCAGTGGCAGGCAGGATACTAAAGGTGTAAGACGTGGAAGGCAGAGATGCCTAATAATATATCTCTAATTGATTAAAATTTTCGTATATTTTCTTGTAAATAAATGTTGTTATTGTTAACAAAACCTCTTATTATCTCTTGGATGCACCTTTAGTCTCACAGAACCATTAGATGCAAAAGTTAATTTTCTTCAGCACTTTTCCTAAAAACAGCAACATATGTTCAGTTTCTTTGGTGATCACAACTGCAAATATTTTCTGCACCATTCACTTTGTCCATTTTTAATTGATACTGAAAATAAAGAACTAATGCATGCATTGCTCAATTTTGATTTATTACACTGCCGTAGAATAACCAACTTGTTTGTGCTAATTTTGGAGATTGTATGCTTTCCAATATCTACAACATCTTGAACTTTTTTAATCTTTTATTACTACGAGAAAAATAATAAGAGCTATCTTTTATATTTTTAAATTTGATGCTAGTATAAAGTGACCACACGTCCTGGGACAGTCCCGCTTTTTGGAGGACTGCCCCGCGTCCCGCTGATTTTTAAAAATGTCCGGCTTTTTAAAAAACATCTGCATTTCTTATTTTAAATGTACTATAAAAATATATTACCTATTATTTATTAATTATTGTAATAACTATAAAGAAATAAAAAATGCATAAATAAAAAAACACATAAAATGCATGCAGAGTAAACTAAATTAGGCGATGTAACGAGTTAGATTTACTCGGTGGTGTTCGATCATTGTCGTTACATCTCGTCAAGGAATATGTATTGTTAACGGAGGAACAGCTAGCATTAGCTGAAGGGCTATTGGCTTTCCACACCATATACTACAATCAGTTTCAGATCAATTGATTGTATGTCGCAAATGATCAAAACATTGTACGACAAAAAATTTGCATGTGCAAAGACAAAAACCGAAGAAATTATTTGTAATGTTTTTTTACTATATTCGTTTTCACAACTGCAGAAAGAATTAGTTAAATGCACATTTATATCCATATATTATGATGCTTCCAACCACAAACATTTAAAATTATTTCCCACAGTTGTTAGACTTTTTGATCTAGAAACAGGAATTAAAATTAGAATATTAGATTTTATTTCATTGCCGGGTGAGATTTCACAAATAATTTTTGATTCAATAAGTACTATTATAAAAAAATAATTTGAACAATAAAATTATTGCCTATTGTGAGGATAAGACTAACGAAAATTTTGGTAGAAAATCTAGAAAGAGGCATCAATAGCGTTTTTACGAAACTTAACGAACATTTGAACCAAAAAAATATTGGAGTAGCTTGTGCAGCGCACATCCTACACAATACTATTCAAATAGCATCCGACTTATTTCCAGTGGATCTTGAAAATATTATTGCAAAAATTTATTTGTATTTTTATATATACATTGTGTGTGTTGAAAGTTTGAAGGATTTATGTGAAAGCGCAGAAATCAAATATAAAAGAATTGGGTCACATTAAAAAAGGAGATTTTATGGGAATATGTGAAGAAATCTTTTTAATATATTAGTAACCATTTTCCAGAAAATAATATTTGCAAAAATGATCTTTTTGATAAGGTGTCTTTGGTAAAAAGATATGTTACTGAAGAAAAAATTAAATGTTGGTTGTCTGCAAATGTGGAAACAGACAAAAAAATGGACAGAGTTATTTCTCTATTTTAATCAGAATAATATTCCTTATGGAAATATTTTGAAAATTGTAGAACACGCGCTCTCCCTTCCCGGAACAAATGCAACAACAGGACGTGTTTTTTCTAGTATCAATAAAATATGGACAATTGAAAAAACACAGGTGAACATTTTAACTTTAAAATCTGTATTAAGGGTAAAATATAATTTTATCAATTCATGTGAGAAATTTCACGACATTTTTATAAATGATCCGAATCTATTGCAAAGTATTCATTCGGATAAAAAATATGACCATGGAAGAAGATCATAATTTTTTTAAATAAAATTTTAAATTAATTAAAAAGCATAATATACAAATTAGTTTTTTTACAAATATTTTTATAGCTACAAATAGTTAATAATAAATATATTTTTGTATATTTATAGACAAGTATATGAATGTATACAATAAAATATATTCTTTTTTAAATTACGGTCTGCTTTCATAACTAAATTAAAATTTTCATTTCATTCCATTTGTCCCGCTTTGTCTCAATGAAAATGTGGTCACTTTATGCTAGCACCTTGACTGAAACAAATAATACAAATGAATAGCAAATCCATTCCACGGTAATTACTGATGGTATCGGGTTGTCCGGAAAATAATGCAGGTTTTTGCAATTGTTTATCTTTCCTGTACGCTTTTAGTAATAAAAATATTTTGAATTATAATGGTTTATATATCATTTTGAAGCTCTATTTTCACTCTACATTTCTATAATAATCATTTTGTTTCAAAATTATTTACTAGGTGTTTTTGTTTAGATGTCAAAACGGGATTTTCTGCAAATTTACTTTTATAAGTTAGGCCACAGCACAGCACAAACGGCTCAAAATGTCAATGAAGTATGGGGCGAGAAAAGTTTTAATGAATCTACAATTCAATGGTGGTACCAAAAGTTTCATTGTGGAGAATTTGACCTGCAAGATCAAGAGCATCGTGGGCACTCTTCAGCTGTTGATGACAACAATTTGAAGACTTTCGCTTGGCGTAAGCAAAACAGCAATTTCTGATAACTTGAATCATGTAGGACAGTCAAAGAAGCTTGATGAGTGGGTGCCTCACGAATTGAGCGAAAATTAAAAAAAAAATTGCCATTTTGAAGTGTCGTCTGCTTGTCTTCTTTGCAACAAAAATGACCCTTTTCTTGATCGAATTGTTACATGCGATGAAAATTGAATTCTCTATAATAACCGTTTGGCTCAATGGTTGAACCACGGTCGTACACCATAACACTTTCCAAAGCCAAATTTGCACCAAAAGAAAATTATGGTGGCTGTTTGGTGGTCTGTAGCCAGTCTCATCCACCACAGCTTTCTAAATCTTTGCAAAATGATTACAGCAGATAAGTACTGCCAACAAATCAACAAAATGCACCAAAAATTGCAATGCATGTGCCCGGCATTGGTCAACAGAAAAGGGCCAGTTCTTCACCACAACAATGCTTGGCAGCACGTCGTGCAACTGACCCTACAGAAATTGAACGAATTGGGATACGAGACTCTCCCTTCCCCCATATTCGCCTGACCTCTCGGTGACCGACTACCACTTTTTCAAACATCTGTATATTATTCTGCAGAAAAAATACTTCAGAAACCAAGACGATGCCCAAAACGCCTTTAAAAACTT